TTGAAGCTTCAAAATCTTCTCCAAAACCAGGAACCGACCGGCGCCGAATATATATCACCTGGACCTTTACAACTGAGGGTTAAACAGGTGAACGCTCGTTGTAGGCCGCTGCCCATAAACTTGCAGCCCGCCACTCTGAAATTCATGTTTGGTATGTCGGCGAAGACAGGCGTTACCTAAATTACACATAATTTTAGTGGTCGACTTAAAGCGCTGTTGGGTTTTCTGTAGCAGCATTTCTGCCGCTCTCTAAACATTAGATTGATAAAGAAAACGGATATAGGTAATGATATTAGACCATACACTATCATAAACGGATAAATGAATATTTGATTGCTGTTACAGGGCATAAGATCAAAGTCTGGTGATTATAAAATACCCTGCGTTACTTTCTTGTCTATTGCTTTGCATAAAACAATATACAGAGAATATATTACCAAGCTAGTAATGTAACATTCAACAACAAACGAACCCGCATAGAAAATGCATTAAATACATAACTTAAGAAAATTCGAAATTAAACGTAAACTTCATTTATCTAAAAAGTATTCACAGTGAATATGTTGTAGGTCTAAAGCTTTAAAATCAGTTTATGGGACTGTAGCTCTGCCTTTTATGATGCGAAGCTGAAGTGACATCGTTAAAATTTCGGTGATGACGTTCCGCTGCAACATCATATCAGTCAATACCAGGATGGTTTCAGCAATTTTTCGTGTTTAATTTATTTGAACATGTGAGGATATACTCACATTAATAGTTTTAAGCCCTCGCCCCTTTTTTGCCTTCGGAAAAATACGTAGTGACGTCATTATCGTCTGTCGTCTTTGTTTTTCATTTAGCAGACAATTTCCGTAGAATTCAAGCCCTGACTCGACTTATACGCCGACATATATCATATATATATTATATATATATATATATATATATAATATATATATATATATTATATATATATTTACATAATAGTATTAATATATAATAATATATATATATATATATAATATATGTAGTGTGTTGTGGTTGTGTGTGCGTGTGTGTGTGTGTGTGTGTGTGTGTGTGTGTGTTGTGTGTGTGTGTGTGTGTGTGGTGTGTGTTGTGTGTGTGTGTGTGTGTGTGTGTGTGTGTGTGTGTGTGTGTGAGTGTATCCATCTTATCTATCTATCTATCTATCACTATTATCTAAATCTATATACTATATATATATACCTATATATAATAATAATAGTCATATATATATATACAATAAATGATCTATACTATATTATATATATATATATAATATATATATATATATATAATATGTATATGTATATATATTCTATTATATATACTATATATAATATACCATATAGAGTGTGTGATGTGTGTGTGCACAGTATATATATAAATATATTTTCGATTATATAATAGTATTTTTAATTATACACTCATGTATAGAGCAATAAATAAGTACACAACACATCACACACACACACACACACAGTCACCACACACACCACCACTCCACACGGAGCGCACACACACCAACGACACACCACCCACACCACACACATCACAACAAGCACACCACACACGCAACACACACATACACAGCGACCAATTATATATATATATATATAATATATACTATTCGACTATATATATAATATATATATAATATTTATATACTAGCCATAGAATATCAAATCAAGCGGTTTACAAATCATTTTCTATACATTTGCAGCTCTCCGCACCACTTTCGCCCGCGAGTCAGGCCATGTTGAATAACTTTCTCTACGGCAAACCTCCTTTATGCATTAGATCATTGCTTATTATCACTATTATCATCATCATCATAATCAGAACACTAGATGCAGAATAAATTATGATTTTCATCATTTACAGGCAGGCACAATCATATCAGCCATACGGTACAGTGCATTATGCCAGCCCACCTAACAGTTATCATTACCAATGCACGAGAGTCAGTCATCATCATTAATGACTATCATATGTAATTATTATCGATCAATTATATATCGATAATCACATCCTACTATTACTTTCGTTTCTTCCTTCTCAGCAGCCGCACGCCAAAAGATCTCAACAGCCTATTAAGTTACAATACGAACGGACAGATCTACGTCAGAATAACTAATGAGAATTCTTTTTATATTAACAAGCTGTTCCAACTAGAGAAGCTATCCTTTTGAGTTCATACTGAATTTCGTACTAGCTTCACGCCAACATGGGTAAGTGTTTTATTGCGATCTAGCTTAAAACGCCTTTTATTAGCGACTTCGGGTCTGCAGTGAGTTCACGATTTGCGTCAGCTTCGTCCCATGTGCCTTTTCCTCAAGAGTGGCCTCCGGCCGCTTTTGTGAGGTCAATTATAGTCTTGGTTCGTAGCTGGGTAAAGATCTATTTATAGTTTACAACGGAGATTCGTTGCGGCGTCAGTATGGCCGCAACTTTGCGTCCGAGTCAACTGGAGAAGTTCTACAGTTTTTTCTTGAACTTGTCTTCCATTGGCACAGCTTGACGTGTCCGTGAAGAGCTCGTTTTTTTTGTAGGGCACAGACGCACAGACACATCCAACGAGAATCACGACTACGCAGGCACCGAGGACAAAATAATGATATAGTGATATTAGTAAGAGGATATATATTATATAGTTAGATAATATATTAGGGATATATATTATAAGTGATAATAATATAATATAGGAGTTATGGTTATATATTATGGTATATATATATATAGTGAATTAGAATATATAGTAGAGTACATTATTAAATAATATAATGATAATAAATATATTATAAATATATTATTATGTGTATACTACATATATTAATACCACTATATAGGAGATATAAGTATGTAATAGTTATATAAATATTTATAATTATATATATATATATAAAGTAAATTGTATGTATGTTATGATGATAAAAGAGGTTGATTATTATGTAGGATATTAGGATAATTAATAAATATATACTAATTATATAAATTATATAATATTAGTGAGATATATATATAAAGGTATATAGTATAATTTAATATACCTTAGGTAGTTAGTAATAGTTTACATTATACAGTTATAGTGATTAGTGTTTTAGTTATGTATGCAATATAATACTAATATAATTCGTTTGGATATGTGAATTTAATATTTATATACCTCTGTATATGTGGGTGTGGTATTGAGTAATTATTATATATGAGTATATAGTTATCCTTATCTATATATTAGAGTATTATATAAATAAAAGATATATATATAAATATATTTTATTTGTTTGCAAGGTAGTGATATATATAACAATATATATTAGTACGGTGTATAAGTGTATAAGGAAATGTGTATATGGAATTAAGAGTAAGTATAGATAGAATCGAATAAAGCTAACCAGATATCGATAGATAGATTAGTGGAGTATGATAGATAGATAGATTAGATGACGATGTATGAGAGTATGTAGTATGATTAGTGTATTGAGTAGATAGATGCGGATATGAGTATGAGTAGATAGCTAGAGAGATACGGATTAGATTAGATAGGATAGATAGATTGCATAGAATTGATGATTGAGATAGGATAAGTAATTATATGATATAGATAGAGATAGATGAGATAGATAGATAGCTATGTAGATAGAGTAGAGTCTCGATAGATAGATAGAATTTAGATAGAATAGATGAGAGTAAGATAGATACAATAGATTAGATTAGAATTAGATTGGTAGTAGAGATATAGATATTATGGTATATTGATTGTATTAGCTTATATAATATATATATGTTATAAACTATATATATAATATATTATATATATATATATATCATATATATGCACGTAATATCTACGTATATTATAATATATATTATATGATATATATATTATCTTAGAATATATATATACAGATGTATCACTATATTAATATTAGATATATGATGTATAAATATACTGTTTTCTGGTATGTGTTATGTATAACATATTAGAATTAATTATCATATATATCAATGTTAGATAAATTGATATATATATCTATCATGTAAACGTAATCATAGATAATTCTAGTTTTTGAGACTTTTTAGTATCTATAAATAATATGATAATGCTATAAACAGTGCCTATATAATGTGATGTGGTTATATAATATAAGTAGTATTACTTATGAGTGTAATGTGTGAATTATGATTATTCAAATGTTAAATAAAATAGTTAATAATCAAGTAAATCACTATATATAAGGAAGTGTTTATTTGAGTGATTTAATATAATGATATAATTCAATCGATCACTATTTCATTATGCACATGTATGCATCTAATACATAATTGAGTCATATATATTAATATAGAAATGAGTTTTCTGTAGTATATATCTGTGTTGCAATTATTTATTAATAGTCTATAGTATTTGATATTAATTATATGTATTTATATACTAGTTGTCAATAATATTGTATATATATATATTACTATATATAATATATATATATATACATATTATATAATGGATTAATGTTCATTTCTTATAAGAGGCAACTGAGATTGTTTACTGATGTAGTGCAAGTCATTATCTTGTTGGTGTGGTTAAGTTCAGTTATTTGCACTTTCCAATGTGCAAGCTGAATATGTAAATGCATGTATCCATCTAAATAAATCGTGAAAATGTGTCAAGAAATGGAATGAAATTACCTATTTTTCTCCTTTTCAATTGATCATCATATTTTCATCATAGCTTATTTTTGTAGACAGAAGCAATGAATATATTTATTATTCATATAGTTTTACTTTTTTTCATTGTTCTACACATGTGTCTGCATTATTAGTTTTTCACTGTCATATTCACGAGACTTTATGTAAGAAATATTCTATACTCATTCTGCCTTATCATTTGCAAAGCATTTCAAATTAAAAGGAATGCTTGTCAAGGTATCTTTGTATTCATCTCTTGTATTTTCCTACACTATGATGAGGTCTGATGTGTAAAATGACTACAAACAATGTAAGTTTTGATCATTTATTGAGGATGAGAACATAGACAGCATAATTATTGATACATGTTCCATCTACATTTGGTCTACTCTAGTATACTAACTCTATCGCAGCCATCAATGCCCCACAGTTCGGGTGAGTGAATTGTTGGGTCCTCGTTGAGATTCATTTAATAGTATAGATTTTTAGGCTATGAATAACAATCTGGTTTGCAATTAAATAGAGTAAAAATCTATAGGCATCTGGAAACTTTGATTATCTGGTTATCTCAGAGGAGAGACCCAAAAATGTTGGCACAGTAATATGCAACAGTCAACAAGAAAACATTCTGTCTGTGGTGAGAGATAGTTCAACAGTCATGGGGTTCTCAACAATGCTCGAGTCCCAATATATCTACAGAAAATCAGCCTTATTGACGTGCCCCAGAACTATCTGACTACTCATGGGATCGCTCAGTGTCCCGCACTGCGAGGCACTCATGGCTGCTGGTACCATATCCTCCATACCATTACCTTGCCAGTACCTGTCCATGACCAGCCTCTTAGCCACAGTCCTTTTGGGGGGGGGTACCTGGTGGGGGCTCCGCAGGCCACAGTGTGGGGGCCATGCGTGACTATTGTACAGGGCTGGTCCACAATGAGTGACAAAATCAACTATATTGAACCTTGCTGGCAATTCCAATAAAACTTGTTTTTCTATTTACATTACAGAGAAAAGAAGTTTTATTAAAACTTAATGGAGGTTCAAAGTTTTATACATTGTCACGTGCTACAAGAATTTTGTATGAATCACTTTATCAATGCTACACAATCCCTAGGAGAAAAGCATTGAAGCTGAAATTCTTACAAAATTCTTTGCTATTGTGGACTACCTCAATATGGTAGAAACGAACAGCGGAGTGTCTGACAAACTGCACAAACAATTTTTATATATTATTGCATCTAAACAGAACATAATTATCAGCAAAGGGAAAAAGAGCATATCTATCGGCACATTGATTATAATCATTATTCATAATAGTGACACAATCAACATTTATGGGCCTTGTACAGAATTACCAAAAGTGTCACTATTCTTGTGTTACAAATAGGGAGGTGATCCTCATGGTAGATCTTCACGCGACTCATAACTGTTCACTCCATCACACTGATAACTGTCGGCTACCTTAAAGATAAAGTATGTACAAGCATGAGACTTTATCAACTATTCAATAACACTGCCATCATCACTTCATTTCTCTTTGCCATGAATACAAGTTCCAACTTTGTCGTCTATGGTCAGATAAGGGTATATAATTGTCAAGGAGTTAGATTAAAGTTAAATAAGAGAGTCCCGCCTCATCACAGAAACCCCAAAATACAAAAAGCCGCAGGGATATGAAAATGATATATTGATATATTGGTCATCAGTGATGTGTTTCTGTGACATCAGAAGAGGGATAAGACAGAGTCTCTTTATGGTATTAAGTATGTATGATTTATTCATTAACACCTGGGACATAATACAATTGGAAAATTAATTTCTGACTCCTAATTCTATTTCTTATATATATATGACTTAATTCTAAAAACAGTGATGATATATGGTCATTCTTTTTCCCTTTTCCCCCCATAAGTGTCCCAAATGTACACACTGATAAATGAAAAAGCCAAAAACCACATAGGCCAATACTGAAACAGTTATTGCCTTTCTAATGTCACAAAAACACACTGCACCTAAGGCAATGGGATGACTCATAAATCACACAATGAGGTTTACTGTGACAGACAGACACTGGTACCAAGATAGAAAAACGGATAGAGGTCAACTTGAAAGAGACAGACAGACAGAATTTCTTTTAAAGAGATCTCAACTAAGCCAGCGGGGTGTAAAGAGGAGTGCCACTATAACTCAGACTGAGGGTGGTGTATTAATTTGTACTTTATAATCCAGCTTCACGACTTATCCAACAATCAAGCATTTATTTACTTACTACATTAGGGCACCAGGAAGAAAGGCAGCAGTGGCAAGGTATGAGTTACCAGATGTGCAACTTCAGGTGAAAAAATGAAGACTCCACACTAGGTTCCATTGAAATTTGTAAAAATAAATAAATATATAAATAAATAAGAGAAAAAAAATGATATTGCACCTTCAAACAATTGCTACACCTGTCAGAAATGGACAGAAGAAATTTTCTGCACTTTACTCACATTCTTTTCATTTTTGGGTATCTTTTATTAAACTATGGACAAAGAATGCCGCAGTAAACACTCTTGAATTTTTTTCAATTCTGCCAAGAGATCACAATGCCACTATAAAAACGTAGTAGGATGAAAAAATACATGACGTCATCATCAGAGCTCATTCCAGTGGGTCCACCCATACCCCTCTCTACATCCCGCGTCATAGGTACTGCTACGAAACAATACTTCACTTTTGCTTTCAATAAAAGTATCAAAATGCATGTAAAAATACAAAAAGATTCTCAAGCATTTTTTTTTCACTCTTCATCGCACGTAGCACAGGGGTTAATATTATCCAAAAATTACAGCGTTTTCATCTATAAAGGGTGATTATGAACTAGTGCACCTCAATTGTCAAGAATAATCAATAGAAAAAGTAAGGGAAGAAGGAGACTGCACAAAAAGTTATTTGTACAAGAGATGGCGATAGTAAGGCGACAGAGGCAAATGTAACCAGGCTGAGGCTCCAGCGTTAGTCCTGTGGGAGTTAAAACCCAAGACAAACACTATACAAGATCCTTCACAGGGGATAACAAGCACAAAATCTTGTTTTTGAAATTTTTTGTCTGCCTTCTCTCTCTCTCTCTCTCTCTCTTTTTTTTTAATTATATATATTTTTTACAAATCTACATGTAATCTTAAGAAGAAATAGATAATTAAATGGATCACAGAGACAAATTTGCATCAGATTTGGAATATTAGAAAATGGGACAAGCCATAAACCGACTCCTCACAACTCTATCGCTGGAAGACTCGTCACCTTGGCTACACTCGTGTGGAGGGCTTCATTCAAATTATGCCCACTGGCAACTTAGTCTACGATGTTACTCAGCAGGGGCCTGCATCTATCATGTTTCTACTGCAAATCTCCTCTACTGTATTAACCAGTTTATAAGCATATTTGTGAAATATGCATATAACAGTGCTGTGTATGAAGCCACAGAAGAACATGATAAAAGGAGACCCTGAATTTGCCCTTCTGATACAACAACTTTGGGCTGGGGAGAAGTGTTCACAACTGCTTTATATGGCTTTTGAGTTTAGATGTGAGAATCTGAACGGGTGTACTTTGTATATACTTGGTGATCATGTCCTTAAATGTCCTTAAAACAATAACATTATCAAGGCCTTCCTTTTGGCCAAAAATACGTTAGTAATTACCCTAAGAAAAATAAAGTACATGGCTAAATTTCTTAAAAATGCCTTGCATAGACTAGTAATCATCTTGGCTTAAAGTGCTGCATTTCCAAAAAAATAAATTCAAATGTCAATGGAGAATATTTGAGCAATCATCTGATTATTCCCCACACCATTCAAAGAACACCTCTGAGTATTAAAGATCACCAGAAATACAGACCTACTCCTGTCTGTTAAGTGTCAGGTTCAACATCTTCAATTTTAAACAATCGTCTTTGCATTGTATTTCCTCAAAATTCAATTATCAGAACTATTGAAATCCTTAGATTAAAAAAACTAAACAGTCTGCGTACTATTTACAAGAAAATGATAAATAAGCCATCTAAGAAGCAACACTTGTGGTAAGACTACCTTACAACTATACAACTGATTCATCAATAAAAATGAGAATTGTCACCAAAGGTTCTACAAGACGTCTTTCACTCATATGAGATCAATACACAAGTAACGGCTTGTGATATGGCAAAAGGTTACATACTGTACACTCATATTATTTCTCCGAAGAACAATTGTCATTTACCTCAGTCACAATAAATAAATATCGACTAGTTCTATATCTGAACAGAAAGTAAGTTTTCACTCTTTGTGACCAGTTACACTGCAGCTACCACATTTTGAGCTTCTATAGCCAGCTCACAGCCAAACACTAAAAATTACACGGCATTTGAGAAGTAACATGGTAACAGCAAGAATCGAGAATAACAAGATTCGGGAATTCTGGGAGCACTCACTAATTCCCTGGCCATTCACTGTAAGGTCCAGTCAATCTAAAAGGCGGAGCATAGCGCATCTCTGACCAAGTGGCAGTTGGCTGGGTCAGGGGTGCACGTGGTGCCATCGGACTGTAACTACTGGAGACATTGAAGGTAGGCAGAGGCGTTCCTTGCGACACAGAACCATGGGGACCAGGACTATAGGGAGGGGTCAAACCATAAGAAGGTTGAGAAATCTGATTTGCATAGCCTTGACTCTGTCCGGGAAAGGTATGTGAATTTGCAACATTTTGTGAATTTGTGTGAGGATTTGGCATAGATGCACTCTGCGAATTAGCATGGGGACTTAGCATTGGAGTGACTTGTGGATTTAAATTAGGGCTTGGCATGGATGCAGTTTGCGGATTTGAGTGGGGACTTTGTAAAGGTGTAGTTTGCTGATTAGAGAGAGGACTCTGCATGGGTGTGGTTTGTGGATATGAATGGGGACTGGGCATTGGTGTGTTCTGTGAGCTAGAGTGTGGACTGGGCATTGGTGTATTGTGTAGGTTAGAAATAGGACTTGACATTGGTGCCCCATGTGCATTAGAGGATAAGTTGGCCATAGCAGTATTCTGAGAATTTGAATGAGGACTTGGCATAGGTGTATTGTATGAGTTTGAATGAGAGCCTGGCAATGAACTGTGTTGTGGGTGTGACTGGGGACTCAGCATTGATGAGTTGTGTGGGACTGAATGAGGGCTGAGTATGGGCATGTGTGAGTTTGAATGGGGGCTGGGCATGGGTGTATGGTGAGTGTTTGCATGTGGACTAGGCACAGGTGTGTTTTGCGAGTTTGCAAGTGGGCTTGCCATAGGTGTATTTGTATGAGGACTTAACATAGGTATCTGATGGGAATTTGAATGTGGACTTGGCAAGGAGTTATGTGGACTATGCAAATGATTACTATAAGGACTATGTACTGAATTTCCATAAGGACTATGCATAGGATTCCCATGGGGACTGTGCAATGGGTTTCCATGGGGACTATGCATAGAGTTCCCATGAGGACTGTGTACTGAGTTCGCATGGGGGCTAGATAACCGAGCCCCATGAGGACTAAGCATTGAGTTTCCATGGGGACTATGTAGTGGTGTTCCATGTGAGCTCCTCTGCACTGTGTTACTATGGGGACTCGACATTGGATTGTGGATGGAGCTAATCACTGGATTGTTAGGAAGATTACCACTATTACGGGAACTTGACATTGGATTAATACTACTAATAGGATTATGGTGATGGTTGTACTGATTAGGAAAACCTCTATACTGCTGATGCCCGTGAGGCTGGTAGGAATTTGCCCCCGGGGTAGGCACTGTGTTATATGGGTTGAACTCCTGCATGGCTGTGTTGAAGGGAGGTCTGCAATGTTCTCCATACCTTAAACGGGGATTTTGCATCCCAGTGTATGTGTGGTCTTCAGTTGGTTGGGGTCTCTGTAATTGTGGGTGGAGGGTCGGGGCACGAGCGGTTACCATGTTGGGGGGACAAGAGGCCACCGAGTAAGCAGGCACTTGTGGGGAAACATGGTATCTTTGAGTAGGACTATAAGCTCTATTGTGATCTATGACAGAGGGAAGTGGCCTAGAATAGTTAGCATAGCTAATAGGTGGCGACTTAAGGTCTGGATGATTAGGAACCCTCGGATCTGCAGGTGGGTAAACTGTGGCAGGCTTACTATCTAACTGATGTCCCTCCAGATGACCTTGTCTGTTCCCCATGGCATGTCCCTCCTGAGGAACTTGTCTCATTCCTACCTCCTGTGGCTTCATACTAACCACCCCATTCATCCTTTGGAATTCTGGCTCAATTTTCTGGACTTTGTTACACTCATCGGGAAACACAAAACCTTCTTTCATCATTTTCTTTTTCTTTCTTGGAGAAGGCTCCATTTTTCCTTCTCTGATCAATCTCTCTTCTTCATTTCTTTTCCTCTCCATCTTTTCCTCAAACTGTGGCCCTCCATGGTTTCTATATATAAGGTTCTTGTGCTGATAAAACACGAGACTAATTCTCTTTGGATCACGCCTATTTGGGTTCTTGAGTGCAGTTGTGGCATGCAGTTCATGTTTGGCACATTCAAATAGCACCGAACCATGAGTCAGAGCAATGGCTACACCTCCGATATTTGGATCATGGAAATTCTCTACATTATCACTGTGTTTGATTACAGTTTCTGGTTCCTTGGGTTTATTACATGGTTGTTCACTTCTACTGGGACTTGTGTCACTGGTTAAATCGGGAAAAGGGTTGTTGTAGATCCTATCTTGATGGAAAGGCATTACTTCTTGCATATTTGGTCCCCTACTAAATTGATTTGTACTTCTGTAGTGCATCTGTAGAGATGGATCAACACCATTTTGCATCACATGTGGCAAACTGCATGCAGCGGAGGGAGTATTTTGCGAAAGTTGAGAGGAATGGGGATGAAGTTCATTTTGAGTCTTACTGATATTGTGGCATTTGTTTTCTTTACTATTTGTACACTGTTGTTGCTGACTGTTATTTAAGTAAGAGCATTGAGGATTGGCAGCCCCTGTACCAGGTGGGTTTGGAGAAGAGACAGGTGTCAGAGGTGTACTCACAGGACAAGCTTGCCCTAATGGAGTGGGATGTGGTGTACCTGTCCTCACAGGTCCCCCAGAAGGTGAAGCCAACAATGACTGACAACTCTGGGGAGACTGTATGAGGCTAGAAGGAGCAGCAGAATCTGCTGAGGATGATGGCATAGGAGATGGGAATGGGCTGGATGAAGGATGGGGAGGTGTATAGGATCTGATACAAGGAGAAGGGATGGGGGATAAACAAGGACTAGCTGAAGGATTAACAGGAGTCATGGATCTTGCTGAAGGAGAACCAAGGGGGGAAGGGTATGGGCTATTGCAATGGGGAAGGTTTGATCGCATGGGAGATGGGAGAGGTGAGATGCTAGGACTGACAGTCTGGGATGGAAGCTGTGGCATATTTGAACATGAGGGCATGGGGGAACTACTACACTGAGGAGAATGTGGTCTTTTAAGTGCAGGGGACATGGGAGGGGGCATAGATGAGTTAGAAGAGGGTTGAGGACTAACTTGTACCATGGGAGAGGCACCAGGGCCAGATACCACTTTGGGCGAACTTCCTAATTGACTAGTAGGAGGGACACCTGAGTGTGTATGAGATTCAGTACTTGTCAGAACTTGGCTTGGGGCATTTTGTCTTTGGTTTAACTGGCTATCTGGAGCTGCCAAATCCCCAGGAGCCACTTCACTGTCATGGTGATTAGTATCTGCTAATGGTTGATTGGAAGATGCTACATCATCACTGCTTGTACTATCATCCTTACTTGAAATTATCTGGTCTAAATCACATGAAAGTCCAAAATCATTATCTGGTCCAACATCCAATAGCCAACTATAGTCAGAGCCATCTAACCCATAGTTGCTTAATACATCATTAGGATCACTGAAGTCAATACCATTTAACACAAAGTCCGTATCAAGGCCAAACACATCACTAAGCTCCACGTTTTGAGTTGAAGGGCTGCTCATCCCATTGACAGCTTTTCCCCTTACTATTCCTCTTCCTCGCCCTCTGCTTCCTCTGCTCTTAATTCTTTTTGGTAAAGGTAGACCTCTTGCCAAAAGATTTCTTGCACGGCACGAGAGGAGTGGTTCAGTGCGGAGGCGTATTTCACAGGGATATCTGGAAAGGAAAAAAAAAAAAAAATTAGTTCTCTAAAATAAAACCTGTTAGTCCAAAAAATAAAAAGAAAAGTAAAAAAAATTACAATGGTTCCAAATAAAAATTATATCATATGAAAATTAGACATGACATAAGTCTCCACAGTTACTTTGAAGTAATCTCATAATATATAAACTCTAAAATGGAAAAGCCTAAAACTGAATCCTTGAAAGTCACTTACTTTTTTAGCACCTCTAGAGCACCTGACTGGACCTTCTGATGGTATGAATCATAAGTTCCATTTTCATCAGTGGGATCCAGAATATACAGAGGTAAAACATGAAGTTGTTCATCATCTGGCTTGACAAATCCACGGTGCTTGGTGAGGGTTGCCACTACAGTGCAACCATTGTTCATGTTATGGAGGTCCTTATGTGCATGAGCACAAAAGTCAGCACATGCTGTGACACCTGTCCATGGCCGCCCAGGTTTATATCCCAGGCGACATTCTATGCTGTCTTCTTCAAATGCTGTTTGGTTCAAGTAGGATTCTGGTGCAAACTTCTCATACAAAGGAGCTATAATCGTAGCTAAACCTTGTAGTTTCTCTTCAACTTCCTTCTCCTGAAAAATATTTATTATGCATTAAAATACTCATTTCATATATCTGATATATGCATATATATATAATACAACTATCAGCCTTTTATGTATGGATAAAATACTCAACACTGAACTCACCTCCTGTTCATCTGAAAGTTTGAATTTCCTTGCGATTTTACTGCGTGCATACTTGCAAGCATTGTAGTACATTGACCAGGAACATCCGAAACTGAAGGAAGCACCACAGGTTTCCTTGTCATAACCTTGACAGATACATGTGCGATCATCATTTACACCACACCTGAAAACGGGCAAGCATGAAATATGAACACTATATAGCCTACCTCCAAAAAAAGAATTTACTTGGAAACTATCCAAACCACTTACATGGTCAACAAGAAATTACTATATCAGCATACTTTTGTGACCAGTTTTGTGAGTACTTTCCAATTTTCAATGACACTACTTGAAAAAAAAAAAAAGAAAGAAAAAAAAGTTGACAGTGTGCTCTGATACACAAGTGACAGCAAGTGGGGCCTTACCTTCTTTCTGTTGGATATCCAAACTTATTGAGTTTGTAGACAAGCATAGAATAAAGATCATCGGCAACAGGTAGAGGCATCCCTTCCCATGCTACCAATGCAACTACTATCCATGCTGATGAACAGGTATGTTTTGCTCGGTGCTTCACAATGGCAAGCATCTTCTCCTCAGGACCCCCACGGCGTATCACCTATAAGCAAAGTATAGCCATGCAATCACTGCTGTCTTTAAGAAAATGAAACTTTCCTGGTCAAAACCTTCAAATGAAAAGAAAGGCAAAACAAGAAGGAAATGACACGCAAGTGCAATGACCCATATAATCTTTTTCAGTAACTTTGCAACTTTGAGAATAAGCTTCTAAAAGACACTTCCCACTGTTTGGCTAAACTTTAAAAATACTAATATTCCCAATATTCAACCAGTAATATAAACAATGATAATAGTTCTTATTTTGCCTGAATACTTACCCACTTGGCAAGTGGACATCCAGCATCAGTCTTTCCTTCCTTCCCAGTGTAGATAACCTTTTCTAGCCTCACAGCAGCACCAACAAAGCCAGTCTGCCGTTCGAGAATACTCCGCAGTTCTAGCAGAGTAGATGCAGCACCGAGGTGGCTGTATATGGGGCCAGGGTCAGGGGTTCCTAAAAATTCACAATTCTGTGTTAGTTATCATACCTATCAATGTTGTCCATCTCAATAGACTACTATATCATAATCTGAATAAAAGACAAATTCAAAATTCTTAGTTGTGGAAATTATGACATCAGATAAAAAACAAATTAGAATTCAAGAAAACATTAAAATACAGCAAAAATCAAAGCATTAGAGCCTACCTGCCACATGTAGCTTCACCACAAGAATCAGCAATCACAGATGCAGAGCAACTGGCACTTTCAAAGCATGCTAGCCTAATTCCATAAAAGCAGGCAAATAGTGAAACAAGATGCAGAAATATATAGTATATACAATCATGCACATTAAAAAGCAGATATCTCTCAAGCCAAATTTTTTATGGACTGAACTGATGGTGATGATCGTAAAAAGACAAATGTATATACATACAGAGTATATCATACAAATACATACATACATACAATCACACACACATACATACATACAATCACACACACATACATACATACAATCACACACATACATATATTATACATATACATAATATAGCAAAGTATATACCATAAGGACAGGCCATCCTATCAGCACCAGACAGCTTGAATTCTACCTCTCAAAGATCAGTTCTTCACATACCATTTAGGCCCACAAATAATATGTGTAATCTAGTCAATGACTAGTTTGACAAACTATGATTTTGAAGAGAATCAGACCTACATTCCCTTTGAATATATTAAATATCACATATAAATCTATCAAACATTATGTAACTATAATTTTTCAAAGGATTAAACTGTAACTCTCATCACAATTATTAATATCAAAATGAAGCTTAGGAAAATCTGGGATGATGTGACAATGGCAGGTACTGTGATATTCATATAATGCTCCATTTTGTTGTATGCTTTTTCATATGATGCCCTCTTCCCCATCATATCTACCTGATCTAGTTCATCCTCAACATAAACCCGGCTTATTGATATATGGCGTTAGATATTTCAAAATCATCCCGAAGATCAAATTCCTGGCAATGATATCTGGTGCACAGCCACATAGACCGAGCTGCATAGAGACAGAGTTCGCTTGCTATGGGTGGATGCAAGCAGTCAGAAACAGGAAGGATAATGCCGATCTTTTTATACCTAAAGCAATTATGGGCGGTGTATGGGTGGCAACAGAGGAATACCGCCCATGTGCACCCACGGGTTTAGCATTCTCTAATCCCACCCCTGCAAACTGTCCGTCCAATATTGATTTTCAGGCAGGGAGTTCTGCGCGCATTTTCTCATGACAAGACATCATTTCCATATTGTTTCGCATTTTCTCACGGCGAGACATTACTTCCACATTATTTCGCGTTTCGACTCCGCGCATGACCGGCTCCCCATGCAAAAGCTCTTCATTCCCGATGCATCAGACAAATTCACATTTGCAGAGGTAGATTTAAACAGGCATATAATTAATTTAAATTTGAACATTTAACATCAAAAGTATTACCATATTGATTGACAGTGTTACCAAAGCCTGCCGTTTGTTATCATACGATCCCAGAGTTGCCAACGCGAGCCTTTTAGTGGCTGCCGGCTAATCATCATATGCAATGCGAGGACGGCCAAAGCGCACTACGTTTAATGCTGATTTTAATATGTATCGATAAAACTGCTTCAATTTAGGATGTAATTCAGAGGATAATGAACATTGATAATGTTCAACAAACGCATAATCAGATCCATTCACTGCATTACGTTCAACAAAACTCATAATCAGACGCATTTATTTCGTTTATTTTTTTGTAATCAGAAGTAATTATTGATCCATATATGCACCAGAACGGATATTTTTCAAGATAAGTTTACAATGCAGTGATAAAATCTCAAGCTAACAAACATAACACATCACAGACTCGGACAGTGATCCAAAACAACTCTAAATACATCTTTCAATACAATAGTCTACAACCTTCTGCAGTATGTTCGTAACCCAAATACAACGCAAAAACTCGCTAACAACAGCGCAGCGTCCAGAATCCCCGTCCCGGCACAGCGTAATTTATGCGGGCCGCCGGGACACGTGCGCGCGGCGGCCGTCTCATTACCGCGCTCGGCTGGAAGCGACGCCAGGCTGTCTAATGTTTACGCGCGTCCCGACCAGACGGCCGTCTTAATGAACGAAACCATAACAATATGCAATCGCGCTGTCGTTTGGCTTGCACTATTGTGACTAGAGGGAAGGAAATGTGCATACACATATGGATATGCATACGCGCATGCACACGCATTATACACACAAACACATACACAAATGTGTGTGTATGTGTGTGATTATACACACACACACACACACAAATGTGTGTGTGTGTGTGTGTGTGTGAGAGAGAGAGAGAGAGAGAGAGAGAGAGAGAGAGAGAGAGAGAGAGAGAGAGAGAGAGAGAGAGAGAGAGAGAGAGAGAGAGAGAGAGAGAGAGGAGGGGGGGGGGGTAGCACGCGTGCATCCATCCAAGCACTGCATGTAACGCATCACATACTTCCTGTGTCTGTTGCCCAGTTAAAACCGCCATTCAACCCTGGGTGTGACAAAGAAGTTGTCCACTGGAGACAGCATTGGGTCTGTTGCCGCACAGCTGTGGAACTGATGTGCCACACCTGCTGCAGCTGTATGTGGTGGTGGGCGTGCGTGCGTGCGTGCGTGCTATGGGTCTGAGAGGGTTTGTGTTAGCGTTAGCGTTAGTATTAGTATTAGTGTTAGTGTTAGTGTTAGTGTGTGTGTGTGGCGCGCGCGCGTGTATGTGTGTGCGCGCGCGTGTGTATGTGTGTGTGCGCGCGTGTGTATGTGTATGTGTATGTGTGTGTGTGTGTGTGTGTGTGTGTGTGTGTGTGTGTGTGTGTGTGTGTGTGTGTGTGTGTGTGTGTGTGTGTGTGTGTGTGAGAGAGAGAGAGAGAGAGAGAGAGAGAGAGAGAGAGAGAGAGAGAGAGAGAGAGAGAGAGAGAGAGAGGGGGGGGGGGGGGCTAAGCCTACACATGAGCCCAACGGCGTGGCTTTAGGGAGCTTGGATCGATATCTGGGCAATAACGCGTGGCACAGAACACGTGCCTCGCCCCACGCGCTCTCGTCCTAATTGGCGGCCCTGGCTCTGACTTCCTCTTCATATGTGTCCGTATTATTATAATTTCCCTAAAGATGTGCGTCTGTTTGGTGTTCGGTAGTAATCAGTCCCTATTTCAATTTTTCGTCTCTCTCAGGTTTACCCAAAAGTCGCAAGCCCTACATGATAGGGAGGCGAGTCCACAACAGCCAAGGATAAACAGTTAGGTTGTGAGGTAAATTATCGATCCAGGAGTGGCTTTGAAACGTTTTCCACACTACCCACTTGGGAGAGATGCGAGAGCTTCACTACCCCGAAAGTTTTGCTCTCCCTCCCGCTGAGAAATCCAATTGAAAATGAAATAGTTTACGAACTGATCTGCCAATGGTTTCGATGTGACTTGTCTGATACGTAAAATAACCCATCATTGAACTTGTATGGTGATACTATACAGCTAAGGAAGGAGGGGGGAAAATCACATGAATATGATGCCTTACTCAAGAAGTGGCTCGACTTGAACTTCTCCCCAACCCTCCTTCGAACCCCAAGTGCCCGAGTCACCAAAATAAAACACGGCCGCCGAGTGGGGCATCGCCGGGGGCACTGCCAAGGTCATTCATTTAACACACGAGTGACACGCTTCTTTCACCAAGTTCTCTGTCACTCATGCATGCACTTATATGTGTAGGGACGTACGTCAGTGCGTATATAGAGAGATACAAGTCACTTCCAATCTCTTTACGGCTCTGGCCTCCCCCCTCCTCCCTCTCTCCCTCCTCTCTCTCTCTCTCTCTCTCTCTCTCTCTCTCTCTCTCTCTCTCTCTCTCTCTCTCTCTCTCTCTCTCTCTCTCTCTCTCTCTCTCTCTCTCTCTCTCTCTCTCTCTCTCTCTCTCTCTCTCTCTCTCTCTCTCTCTCATTTTAAATAACGACTGTGCTCTAATGTAAATATAAATTTGATACACACTCCCTTTCAAATCCAGCCGCCAATCAGTTTTGGCCTTTGATGTGTTGCTTTACATCAACCTCTCCCATATCTTCAACCCGGCCGCCGATCTGTTGGCATTTCTCTTTTTAAAGCGTCATTCCCTTGATTTCTATTCATGCTTCCTTTCTTTATCACTAATTACTGTCCCCCTAGCCCGCTCGTTCTCTCCCTCTCTCTCTCTCTCCCTCTCTCCCTCGTCCCTCTTGGTCCTTGCATAGAGCCCAGATTAGCCTAGCCATTTTTCAGCCTGCGCTATTCACTCTCTCGAATGAAATATCGCGCAGAGTTAAATGGACCGCGAAAATGGAACTCGATTCAAGCCAATTGCTCTTTGTATGATTTAAAAATGATTTATGAATATTTATAATTGCCTTTCTCTACCATTCATCCCCTAGTCTAGCCCTCAACCCTCCATCGCACCCCCTCTCCTCCACCCAGACCCTTCCCACCCAACTGGTCATGGGATGATTGGATTCCGGGACTGCATTGCATGCTCTTAATAAACAACAAAAAATAAAATAACTATCTATTGCACAGCCGCAAGCATAAAAATAAGACACCAAATCCGACAGAATATTTTTTCTGCCGAGCGGTGCAAATGTGCTACCATGGCCGGATGCACATCTACATGCTGCCTAACGAAGAAATGCATGGTGGAGGCTGTATCGATTATTTATACATGGCATTAAAATGAACATAAAGTAATAAAAGTGACTGTACAGAATCCAATTAACCATTTATCAAAATGAGCAAAATGAGAAAACATAAACCTTACAGAATCAGTCGATGATTAGAGAACCATGCAAGCATATTTGATCGTCTTGAAATAAGACATGCAAAAGTTAATGGTGAAAGTTGCTTTGTCAGGGAGCTTCACCAGATGGTTCCTTCCACCATTTACTGACAGAAAAAACATGCAACACAAAGACGGAGAAATGAATGAGCTTAGCAATAAAGGTAAAGTCAAAAAATATCTACAGAGTCTAACTCGCTGCAAATACATTGCATATCCTTTTTCAACAGCCGAGGAGCGCTTTGTACTCACCAGGGGGGACAATGCATGAACATCGAGGTACGTTGAGCTCGTTTAGACGAAGGCGCTCCTTGCGAGCCTCCAGGTCTGGGTTCTTCTTAGGACCTTCTTGGACGGCGTCGGTTGTCTGCGACTGTGGTTGTGTCTGCGGCTGTGGCTCCGGCTGCTGCTGCTGCTGCTGCTGCGGGCGGGGACTCTCCGTCTTCACCCGAGGAGTGTTGCGGGAGCCATCGGAGGCGTCGGCCTGACTGGGTGTCGTCTGCGGCGCGGTCGAGTGCGTCGATGCGGAGGGCGCCTCAGCTTGGGTTTGTTGGACATGAGACTGATGACTCTCCGGGTGATATGTGGCGGGTTGAACTGCACCTACAGACTGATGCAAGTTCGCCTGCTGCTTCTGCAGCTGTAAGGACTGCTGGTCACCAGGGGTCGAACTGGCAGCAACTTGTTGGCATGGCGTAGTCTTCGTGTGGTTGGCGAGTGTGCTGGTGTTGTTGGACGAATACTGACTGGAGTCTGACTCGTTGCAAGGCTGGAAGGCAGAGGCAGGGGGACCCGGGGGCCTAGGCGGTCCTCCACAAACTGGAGGAGCTGGCACGTGGTGCCGTGATGGCGTCTTAGGCCCCGCGGGGGTGGCTGCAAGCGGCCCGGGGCGTCCGGCCCCAGGCACACTAGCACACGCAGGCCGCGACGATGGCGGTCCTGCCCCCCTGACCCTGCCAAACCGAAAATCCTGGCGGCTCTGGCTCGAGTCTGGACTGTCTGGGAAGTCGTACACTGACAACTTCTCCCCAAGGTTTTGTGGGCGGCTGGTTTCTGTGTTCCTCGTCCCGGTCTCGTCCTCGGAGGCCCCAGCTGGAGGCGTTCTGGGGCCAAGCTGGTCCGGAGGTTTGGGTGCTATGCTGTCGGTCGGGCAGGCGGCGGCCTGGTCCACCTGCGATTCTTCTTTCCGTTCCACTTTTATTTCTTCGTTAATTTTCACATCTTCACTTTCCTTCTTTTCTATCTCTTTCATTTCAACATCATCGCTAACATTAGCTAATTCTTCCTTCATTTCCACATCATCAATAACTTCTTTCTTTATATCAGTGTCAATTTCACTGTTACCATGATCATTTCCACTACTCGTGTGTTCACTAACTTGACAGTTTTGAGGGGGCGCTGACCCCCGCAGCGGTGTCCCTTCCGTGCTCGGAGGTTCACTGCTACTGTTAGTGTTGGCATGGGTATGTCCGGTCCCCACGCCGCCCTTCACATCACTACTGTTGGCATGGACCACAGAGCCCGGGCCAGGCTCTGCAGTCCTATAGGCTAAAAAATTCTGGGCCATTTTGAGAGATTCGTGCATGTGCGCGGGCTCGGCGTTGGCCACGCTGGTCACGGCAGCGACGTGTCCGGAGAAGTGCACCTCGCCCAAGGGCGGCGAGTCCACGCCCCCGCCGGGGTACGCGGAGCCTCCTTGCCGGGACATGATCATGTTCTTCAGTCGACTCTGCACGCTGACGGAGCCGTGTGGGCTTGCCTGGGGCACGCCCGCACCCCCTTCCAAAGTTTGACCCGAGTACCCGCCCGCAGACACTCTAGAGCCGAGTAAACTCTGCGTGGGGGGAGGCGGCGGGTACCCAGGCTTCTCGTTTGGGTGATCGGCTGTATGAGGGGTGTGAGGGGCGTGCGGCGTGTGAGGGGCGTGAGGGGACGGCAGCGTCGTCATGGTGAACCCTCCTGTGACAGGTGACGCCTCAGGCGCCGACACTGCAGGCGACGCCATGGGGGACTTGAACATGCCGCCTGCTGTTGTTGTTGTTGCTGCTGCTGTTGTGTGTTGTTGTTGTTGCTGCTGCTGTTGTTGCTGCTGTTGCTGTTGTTGTTGTTGCTGCTGCTGCTGCTGTTGCTGTTGTTGTTGATGGAAGTCGTTAGAGCCTGGGTAGCGGTGGGGATGGGGGGACGAACCCCCCACTACCCCGTTTCCCTGGTTTTGCGTGAGGAAACCGTTGGGCGGCCCACTCGCGAAGGCGGGGACGGACGTCTGCGGCGTCTGGGGGGAGAAGTGTCCCTGCGGCACGTAGCCCGCAGTGCCATTCTCGCCGGGGGCGTTGAACTGTCCGTTAAACTGACTGTTGAACTGCGAAACTGGTACACTGGGGGCAGGGGGAGCGGGGGGCCCGTTGGGCCCACCGGGGAAATTGAACATGGGTTGACGGGGCTCGAACTGGCCGAATTGATGTGGTGGTGGCGGTGGTGGGGTGGGTGACCCATGGGTGGGTGGCCCAAACTTGGGGGATGGAACGGGGGCGGCCACTGCCCCTGTGGTGCCTCGCCGCCCCATACAGCGTTGGGGAAGCGCTCCCTCATGTGTGGGAAAGGTGGGATCTCTGGGGGCGGCAGGGGAGGCTGCTCGCCCATGCCGGGACCGGGGAAGAAAGGCATCATAGCACCCATACCGGCCTGTCGACGCTCCATCTTCTCGCCGCGGGGAGTCTGTGGACGGAAGAAAAACACAATTAGCATTCATAATCATACAAAATTGCATTCTTGCACAAATAAAATCCTAACTGCAATTCTTACAAGATAAAAGATCGCAAAGTTTCATAGTAACTTAATGTAAAGAAGAGACAGCGCTGCCTTTGACGTCCTTGCAAGGATGACGAGACAAGAGACCCAGGCGGGAGGGGAGATGGAGGGGGGGGGGTGAAACTGGCAGGGCGGAAGGTGGTAAAGGCGGGTAGCCTGGCAAGTGTCTGGGGCATGTCTGGCGGTCGCCTAGCAGAATGACGACCTTCATCACCCTCCAGCGGCATCTCCATCATCACCAGTCTACTGTTTGTAAACAAGCTCACGTGGTCCACAAGTGCTTTATAATAATTACTCATAATTGGGTCAGCTGATGATCATGTGTTCTACGGCCATGTGCGGCTGTGTTTACAAACAAGACCACGTGTCTAGCCAGAGCAGAGCAAAGTGCAACCGCCCTTACCCGCGGGAGCGTTAAGTGCGCATTCGGCTTGCGAACTTTCCCCTACTTCCCTCCCCTCGCTGAGAACAGGAGGGGGAAGGGGAGTTCCTCTCACACCCTAGGGTAAGGTGAAGTGTGGGGGAGGGTGGCACACAAATACCACCCTTCGGCGCCCCCGCCACTCGGAGCAGCGTTTAAATGTCATTCTTCCTTCACCCTAATTCAACAGGTGATTGTGGCAGAGGGGGAAGGGGGTTGTCTATAGGGAAATTTCGCCTTTATGCTAGCCTTCTGCACGGACCCACCCTGGCAGCGAAGGGGCCCTGCAGACGAATAATACACCACCCTCTTGACCTTGAGATTCTCATGATGCAAGTGTAACTGTGTTTCCCCGTCCACTTTCTCCCCTCCTCTGCGTCACCCACTCGTTCCTCCCCTCCTCTGCAGCTGGGTCACTGGCCTCCCATCCACTCGGACATGCCGTCACTCCCGCCCAAGGTCGCCTCACGCAGCGGGGAAGCAGTCGTCGGGTGCCCTCGGAGGGCTACTGCAAATCATGGCTCCGCGCACAGAAGGACGCCAAGGGCACTGCTTTCGAATATTTCACCTTGGCGCCGTCGCTGAGCATCCCTCTCTTACTCCCGCTGTCAATGATTTTTACTGCGAGTTTAGAATCTGTCATCGAAGGCAGCGCGAGGCCAGCTCTCCCCGTAGACGAGCTGGCTGGCAATGGCTATGACACGACGCGTCAGATGAATCCAATGTACACTCCTCGTAACTTGGACAATTATTCTACGTCCCACGCTATGCGCTCCACTAATAATCACACTATCATGTCTTTTTAAGTAATATCACATTACTAGGATCAAGTGTTCCGAAGAGACATGCTCTATTCTCCAATTAAACAACATTTGCGTCTATTATCTTCTTCATTCACAGTAAGTACAAGCACGCACGCACATAAAAGCAGAACATATCTCAAAAACAATTTCGGTTTCATAAAAGGAAATCACCTTAACTGACAATGCTTTCTTGGTTTCCATTGGAACTTTTCCTTCACAGCGACAGCAATATTACAGGAGGATCAAAACGCGACTCCCACGACGCGCCCCTGCTCCTCGCACACTGGGCCACGGAAGCCCGAGATGAGAGGAAGCACACAAGCAATCCAACCAGCCAACCACCCGAAAAATATCATAAATGACCGAAAAGCCCCTTTAAAAACCCACCGCCTAAAACAGGATAAAAGAAGCTCACAATGAGGAACAGTTGGTCTGACAAAGGCTGGGACCCACTTCCTTCTTTGCTCTCCGTGCCCTCGAGGTCATCGCGGGTCCTACAGGAGGCTCCGTCCTATAGAACGCGCCAGGAAGGGAAGCCTAATGATAATCCGCAACTAGTTACACAGTTGCCACATCCAACTAAGTCTGTAGGAACTGAATTATACATTCAAGAGTTATCGTCGTCAGCATAATTAAACCCAAAAGCTGCATCCCCAATCAATACATTTCACATCGTAAGAAATTGAACGTGGGTCTCCAGCCACTCAAAAAGGCGCAGAGGGTGGAATCGCCCCTGTGGCAACAGTGCCCGGGCCTGAGCCCTGGCCCAGGGAAAGTCGGGTAACAGGACGACATGGCGGCTCGCTCGCTCGCTCCAGATAATATACAAAATGACAGGTAAAGAATGACTGAGGCGGGGGACAGATCCCGTGGGATAGGCCTACCTGGATGAGAACCTCGTGTTAATAAATGTCGAACAGTTTATAAAAAAATAAGACTGTACACCGTGAGAGGCCGGAAATTACCAGTACTCTATGCATAAATCATGTTATCAGTGTACAGTGAATTCAGAATTATCTCCAGTTCCTTTAGAATCGCACAGCAATGAAAGAATTCAAGCATCACGCTCTACGTGCGGATACACGTTCCTTCTCCCAGACGGCAGGTGAGAGAGCGGGCACTCGGCGCGGTGTCGGCAGCCCTCGTAGACAAGCGCCCCTGGCGGTGTGACCGGGCCATCGCC